CTTCACGTTTCATGGTTATGGTTAGGATAGGGGTGAGGGGACAGTTAAATGAGGTAAATTAGAAGTGAAATGCCGGTGAAATCTCTGTTTTACCGCGGGAGTAGGAAAACGACGCTCTGGCACAGCGGGTCACCTCCCGACACGCATGGGCTCCCAACGCGTCGAAAACAAACGCTTGGTCACCCCGCGTCATTTTTCGACACTTAGGGCGTGAGAATGTGTTGGCTGCCCAATGTGTTGGCTGCCCCCCCCCCCCCCCCCCCCCACACACACACACACACACAGCCTGAAGCGTAGAATACGGAATGCAGAATATCAGCAGGGGGGCAGACTGAGACAGAATGTTACGTGTCTATGACAGTGTGAGCGTCGTGTCACTGGGACCCGATTAGTCATGCGGTCAAAGGAAGATGTCTTTTTGCCAAGACGCCATCTTCGTTGTTTATGAAAAACTGAGTGTCGCGGTGTGTGACGTACGCTACTCAGTGCTGATTGGCTCGTTTATAATTCTCAGGGGTGGGGTTTTTGTGAGTAGAAGCGTTACCAGGCCCTCTGCTTCCCATAAGGAAGCATTGGCATGGTTGGCCAGGCTAATGATTGGGCGCGATACAACACAAAACGGTACAAAATAATGACAAATTTTGATAAGACATTTTAATTGCACTGGGAATAATCTAGACTCAGCTTCACACATGAAAAAGAAAATTCTTGACAAATTAATTAAGACAGTTTCTTGATTCTCACCAGTAAGACACAACAAAAAAGTATTTATTTTAAAAGGTTGAAATGTACATGTAATGATTTTTTAAAAAGAGGTACCATGAAGTATGTTTACAATTTATTCAAAATCACTAAATTACTGTATGTCTCTAAGAATTAGTGTCAAAAATGTTGACTAGATTCAGCATTTTCAGATCCTGCTAGTAAAAAAATGAAAACGAACATAAATATAATGTAAAATATATGTTATTGACTTCAATCCAAAAAAGTTTTTTGTTACTTCATTAAATGTTGACAGCACTTAAGGAAATGGACAATGCTAGGCTGGAGATCTTTACCACTTGTCTGTTTATTTCCAAGTGTTTCAGCTGAATTAAATTTATAATCAACACCAGGATGCATGCGATCCTTGATCATTTCCTCTCCACCGACGAAACAATCAACCAAGTGACTAATCTCTCCAGAGGCATTCACCAAACTCCTGTTTTGATGAAATATTTTTAGGAAGGGAGGCTGATACGACTTAAATTGCTCATCCTTTCTCATTAAATTTGACCCTTTTGGAAATGTGGTCTTTGAACATTTTTAATCCTTCCACAGTCCCTCCTTGACTGCTCAGGTTGCAAAATTGTACCCCAGACTGAGAGCGTGAGCCGCTGGGGAGTGAGGATGCTATGGCCAAGCTTTAACCTCATGCACACATTTGTATTGATCCGTACAAGCATCAGTGGCTGTTGCTACAGAGCAAGCTGCCCTGATCGCTCAGGGCTCCCCCGTCACCGTCAGTGGCAGCTAACGAGGACTCCAGCACATCACACACTTATATACAACACACACACACACAAGCAAAGCTTCTGGCTGCCATCAGTCCTGCCCTCACCTCCTACCTCACCCATTCACCCTCCATCTTCATCTTCAACCCCCTCTTTTACTTTCTTCTTTTTTTTTTTTTTTTTTGCTCTCCCTCTTTCTCTACCTCACTTTTCCTCTAATGAGTTGCAACACTGATAACGAGCCTGATGATCTTCCATTGATTCAGCTATCACTTGCTTGTCTGGTAATTGATCCGTAGCTGAGCCTCTAGTTAATTATATGGGCTTCGACATGGACCCCTGCCCCACGGGGGATTCTCAAGTCCTGCACAATAATAGTTTTAATAAAGGAGCTCGAGGATCTCCAGGATCCTTTTTTACCCTCCGTCGTTTGCAGCGAATGCGGTTTTTCTTCATTCTATTTCCTGTTCTTTCTCTGTTTCAACTCAAGATTTTCTTCATCTCTTGTGTTCTTAGTCATCTGGTATCAGCGATAGATAGGAGGTGGGGGGCCTGAGGAGGAAGAGTGATCTCTATTGGCAGAGCCCAGTCTTCCCCTCCCACAAATAACAGCCATTAAAGCAGCCAGGTCAGAAGCTGAGCCACCAGCTCGCCTTAAAACACTGAGTGCCACTTGAAAAACCCACAGACTAGCACATTTACACCCAGGAGTGAGAGAGGGAGCAATGGAGAGGAGGAGGAGGGACAATCTGGAGAGGAAAAAGGAGTCAGCGGCTAAATTGTCACTTAATATAATTAGCCCGAGCTCCATTTTCAATAAGTTGTTAAGAGCGGAGCTGATGCTTAACGGGCAGGAGGTGGTGTGTTGTGCACTTTATGAGGATGCTGCACTAACCGGGCATCAAGGCCAAAAGATGAAGGAAGAGAAATGACAGAAAGAGGGTGGAACTGAAAGGAAAGCAGAGAAAGAGATAGAAGAGTCAAATAAGCGTAAAACTGAAGCAGGAAGGGAGTCAAAGATGTAAATCAGAGACAAAAGACACAGGAAAACGTTCTTAAAATGTTAGAATACCCCCCCCCCACACACACACACACACACCCACATACATACACACACACACACACACACACACACACACACACACACACACACACACACACACACACACATAACGGTAACGACCGGTGTGATAATCTCTGCAAAGGTTAACACTGCACTGCCATTAGTGCCTGGTACAAAAGGCTTTTAACAGACAGGTTCGCAGCTGTCTGCAGCAATTTAGCACAAAATCTGAAGTGACTCTATAGATCAGAGGCCATGTAATGCAGCGAAGGAAAGAAGTTCTCCGCCTGTCCCTTTTTCTTTTGTTCCTCAGCGGCGGAAAGATCACTGTGACATCTTCTTCTGGACTCGCACCTGGTCTGTCATTTTTCTAATGATAGAGGATGAGGAAGAGAGGAAGGTGGATTTAAAATAAGGAAAAAGGAGCAGAAGGAGGCTAAGAAGAGGGTTTCTGCATTGTTTGAGATCTGTCCTGTGCTATGTCAAAGGAAGCATAGATCTCCTTTCTCCTTTTTTTAAATCTTTTTGTTTTACCCTCATGCGTGTCTTTTTCTCAGTGTCTGCCTCTTTTTACTCCTCCATCCCTCCTTTTATCCCCTTACCTTTGCTGCTGTGGGGACCAATTTGGCTAAAATGGAACCTCTTCCTCATTTTTTTTCTTAATTAAAATCTGAGCGCCTCCACAGAGCAGGAGGAGGAGGAGGAGGAGGTGCTTGTGCGCAAGTGTGTTCATATGCATGCTGGTGTATGATGGTGGCAGATTGCACGGCGTTCCATTAGTCTGTAATTATGGGAAGGGTAAAACAATCAAGCAAAAGGGTGCAGAGTTACTAAAAATGGTGTGTCATTTCTTTAAGAACTTGAATAGAAATGCACATAATTAACTGATTGATTTTTGCAAAGCAACATAACTGTGTGTGTGTGTGTGTGTGTGTGTGTGTGTGTGTGTGTGTGTGTGCGTGCGCGCGTGTGTGTGTGTGTGTGTGTGTGTGTGTGTGTGTGTGTGTGTGTGTGTGTGGGTGTGTGTGTGTGTGTGTGTGTGGCAGGACTGTCCCACAGGAGAACTAAGTTGCTCTGAGACATGCCGGCCACTCGCAGCGAAAATGGTAATAAGGCAGAGAGGGGGAAGACAAGAGGGGGGAGACTCTTTCTGCTGCTCAGCGATGCCCCCACCTTCCTGCCCAGAGCAGAGGAGGAGTATGTGTGTGTGTGTGTGTGTGTGTGAGAAGTGTGCAGCACAGTGTCACTTAGCATCTCAGAGTGGAGCAGCACCATTGACTCAGTTGAGTCTGCACTGGCCTGACACACACTCACACACACACACACACACACACACACACTTTTTCTTCCTGTTACGCTCGCTCACACACACACACACACATCCACGGCAGCGCTCGGCTCAGTCAGTTCCTTCGTGGCTGCGGTGAAGTACAGCGGAGTCAGACAGAGAGAGAGAGAGGGAGAGAGAGAGAGAGGAGCGGAGGGAGAGGAAAAGAGGGAGGACAGGCAGCGGCGTGGACGTTGGGAGAGGGACCGAGTCACTCAGAGAGAGAAAGAAAAAGGAGGCAGGGAGAGCTGGAGAGCTGGTGGCTCACACTTCATCCTCACTTTCCTGGGACAGGCACAGATTTGATGGTAAGAGACACTCGTGCCTCTTATTCACTCATCTCTTTGCTTTTATTGGACTTCATTTTCTTTAGAATTAGACTTTATTTCTTTTGTTAGATTATTTTTACGTTTTGTAGTCGGTTTGTTTTCAGTTTAATTCAGAATGTCTGAATTCAATTTTATTTTTATTTTTTTAGAAAAACAACTTTACAAACTTGCATGTGTTTATTGGGAGTGTGTGCATGTTTTCAGTGGGCTGAGGGCAGCTTTCCTACTTTTGCAACAGGATGTGTGTGTGTGTGTGTGCGTGCGTGCGTGTGTGTGCGTGCGTGTGTGTGTGCGTGCGTGCGTGTGTGTGTGTGTGTGCACATGTGTGCGTGTGCATGCAGCATCTCTGTGTTTAAATGGAAGTGTGTCTTGAGTCCATGTTCAAGTGTAAAATGACCCCCTTCACACTATAACTCCCCCAACCTCCCACCTTTATTTTGTTTCACTCTATCTCTTCCCTCCCCACCACCTCCATCTGACTCCCCATCCCTCCTCACCTCCAGCGGTGCACTCTTCTCCCCCTGTCCAAGATGAGGCCCCTGAAGAAATTCACTCCAAGCTCTTTCTTTCTCTGTCCTCACAAGAAGTGACTCCACACCGGCTCTGGCACCAGAGCTACCAGGAACCCTCTGACACAGATCCACTCCTCCATCTCCACGATTCGAATAAAGAGGAGAAAAAACACACACAGAACCCCAGAAGAACACACCTTTGCTGACTTATTTCTCTTCTCTCCTCCTTCACCCCTCTTGCCCCCCTCACTGTCTTTCCCCTCCTTTCTGTCTAAGTCCAAGGAGGCAGAGTTGGATGTGAGAGGCAGCGAGTGTGTCACAGTCCCACCGGAGCCCAGCAAAGACCCAGAGCCACCCCGGCCACCTTCAGCTCAGAGTAACAGACCCACCAGCACAGCTGGCGTGTGTGTGAGCATCCCCTCCAGCAGCAGCAGCAGCGGCAGAAGTGATCTGGGTGGCATTAGCATTGTTAGCAGCAGCAGCAGTGCTGAGGGAGCAGGCGAAAGCTCCATGCAGTTCAGCACCAGACCGCCTAGTGCTGAGCAGCCGGGCTTCATGGGGACATGGCAGCAGCAGAGCACTGACAGCAACCTCCTCTACAGAATGTCCCAGCAGGTACAGTTCCACCGCCTCACACACACTCGCACACACACCCTCTTTACCGCTCTTGTCCCAACGTCCATCCATGTTTCCGTTCTGTGATTCTGCGACACCAAACTTTATTTTCTCTTCGTTTAGTTTGTTTGTGTTTACAGCCACCACCTCTTCGTTTAGAGCAGAGTTTAATCTGGATCAGCGGGAGGTGGTTGAGTTTTGCTTGCGAAGTTTCAGACAAAAAAAACGTATTTTATCTCTGTTTTTTGCAAACGTATCTTTGAGAAGTTACCATTCCTCTGACTGAATGCATGCCTTCTTGTTACATGTGTGAAAACATGTCCTGTCACACATTAATTTAAACATTTCTGATTTAATTCTTGAAACCCATAAATTGTTTTTACCTGTTTATAACCAAACACAAAAACATTATTTCTGGGTGTTTTTGGAAATTGCACATAAAAATTTTAAACTTGAGCTAAAGCAGATGAGGTTTTCTTTGACCATGTGATTGATGGCTCACCCCCTTTAAGTCTGCGTAATTGTTTCGTGAGCGAAGTGAAGTTGAACAACAAGCATCAGCCGTGTTTTGGTAACCTCCGTGCCGATAAAGACTGGAGCAGGGGGCCACCCTCTGGGACCGTCTAATTAACTTAATGTGGCCGGAGCAGGGAGTACCTGGCGCGGCTGCGGAGCAGCAGAGGAGCCGCGGTCGTGCCGAGTCTGCACCGACTGATGAGACCCCTCCGACATCACTCCCCTGCTTTGTCTGCAGCTTTTTATGTTTATTTTATTCCATCTGTGGCGAATCTGAAATTACAAGAGAAATTTGAAGTGAAATTGGAGAAACATCAGGAACCGAACAAGGGGAAGGAATGTGAGTGTGTTTGTGTGCTTCCGTTCGCGCGCACTTGTGTGTGTGTGGGTGCGTGTATCAGTGCGTGTGTGTGGAGGGGGAGACAGTGGAGATAGAGCAAGCTTGTTAGGTTGCGATTAATCATAGCGGGACCTGCAGGCGCTCCGTGCCATGCACGCGCTGTTACGCAGACAAGCCACAGCGATTCTTGCGCAACCGCTCCGCCTTTTAGTGCCACTAAAGAACAGAAACTTCCTCCGTATGTATTTGATCAGCCTTTACTTCCTTTTATTTGTGTTGCTAATTAGTAGTTTTGCAGCCCGGGGTTGAATGGAAGTGCAAACAACCAAGTCCATAACAACAGTCCCGTGCGTATTTTTGAGCAGTTTTCCTTCCCTGTCACAATCCGGGCTTTTTCTGCTCTATTTGGTGGTTTAAAAATCTCGCAAATTTAAATGTTATTTTCTTGCAGCTTGTGTCCGTTTTTTATTTATTTTAATGCATATATATATATTATATATATTTTGTATTTTCCGCAGACATTTTTTTATTAATGCATGACTAAAACTAGCTGCAGAGGCCAAAAAGACTCTTCTCTAACCTCTGCCGTTGTGAGCAGGTGGATGCCCCCTCCCCACCTCTCCATCCCTGCGCTCCGTATCTGCTGGGACCCTCTCACGGCTGCTTCCCCACATCTTTTTACAAATGCGCGTCGTTGTTTCAATATAATCAGCGCTGGGACTCGCTGTTATTTATCCTTCCTCACATCACTTAGAAGGTAACCTCCTCATGTTTAGTGGGCTTGACATAAATCCTCCGAAGGAAGCCCGTTCCTTGACAGACTAGTGGAATCTAACCGATAATGACTTTGTGTTTGCCGAGCCTGGCTCACTCCTGGGACGTGTGTAATGTGGGATTGCGCTTCAGAATCTCCCCTCGCTTCCAGAAAAAGACCACCAGGTGACACCATGAACAGGATATCATATTTAGGCTACACTTAATCTGTTTGATACTTTGGAGAACGGTGCGTTCTTGGAGACACGCGGCTGCGTGGAACGTTTGGAAACACCTCTGAAATTCCTTCATGGTGCACATGTGCGCGCGCGCACGCACGGTGCAAGACGATTGAATGATGGACATGTTGCTTTTTAAGAGTTTTAATCACCACTGAGATATAAGTGGAAGTTTCCAGCAGGTGTCAAATTATATTAAAATGTTTCAGGTCTTGTAGAATAAAAATGATCATTTCTTTTACAAAAATCTAGAATCAACATAAAGTTTAGAAAACCTGTCAGATTTTTTTATAAACCTGTTTTTGTATATTTTTTTCGTGTGTGGTTAATCTGATTATTAGATTCATTTCATATGTAAAATAAAATTAAAATCGGTTTCTGGAAACAATCCTATGGAAATGCTGAATTCTGTTTCTGAAAAAAAAAACGTTCCTATATGTTTCATATTAAAAATTAGATTTTAATTTTAAATGACTGCATTTTGACAACAATTACATTTTTCTGCCACTGGTTAAAAAAAACTCCAATCAACGAAAAATCAAGACTTTATTTTTTTTATTTTATTTTGACATTTAGAAAAACTTGTTTTATTTCTAATCCACATAGAAAGACGCTCAAGTCCTCCACGATCCACGCAGGAGTCAACCTGCGTCACAAACAGGAGATTTAAAAGAAATCAATTCAATGGATTCGATAAGTGCCTGTTTTCTGGAGCGTGCAGGGATCGGTGCGCATTTTACGCAGCGCTTAAAAACGGGGAAACGCTCAGAATTACATTCATATGTAGAGAAATTTTTTTAAAAGCTCGGAGTTTATTTATTGTCACCTTTTTATGGAGGAGCCTTAATTGACCCCTCTCCTCCGTATCACGCGTGGTTCTGAATATCGACCACTGGAAGTTAAAAACTCCGGAGTTAAGTGATACCACGGGCCTAATTGGCTCATCAGGGATACTTCCTCTACAACAGCAGCCGGAGGCCGCAGCGCGTTTTTTTCTGCTTGTTTTCTTCCCCGCTTTAAGTCAGAGAAAACGTGGGAACTATACATAACTGAAGGGCTTGGAGAGCTCATAAAAACGTGGCCTCACCTCCACCTGAGGATCTGGTGATGCCACCCAGGCGCAGAGCAGATCTCCGAGGAATGGAAAATAAAAATAGAGAGAGAGAGAGAGAGAGAGAGAGAGAGAGAGAGAGAGAGAGAGAGAGAGAGGGGGGGGGGGGCATTGGTGCGTTCAATTACTCTAACAATTATTCTATAAAACAGCCTCTTCCTTATTTTATTTATTTATTTATTTTGCAAGGGTGCGGTAACGCGGCTTCCTTTGAAGTGCGACAGGTCCACTATGGGCCGAGACCCGGAAGAGGTACTGAGGCTTTGCAGCCTGATTCTGTCTGCTTCTCCTGAACACACCAGGGCTTTGGGATGGGAAAACGTCATCACTGTATTAATAATCATCATAAAATTCAACAGATCTTCTCGTTTTGGAAGCATGTGCCGCTGATCGCGTCTTTTATATTTTTGTTTATTCTGCAGCATTTTTCTTGGTCTTATACAAAAATAAGCATTGAAGCTGTTTATAATAATAAGATAGATATTTTAAAAGTAAATAAACAACATTTAGGTCACTGTCTGAATTCAAAAGCTTGTAATACTTTTCATCTATATATTAGTTCTAAATGGTTCTTAAATTCATGTTTTTTAGTTTAAACCAGTGGTCCTCTTCTGTGTTTAGGGTGACAGTCCTGGTTTTGCAGAGTTGCTGAGTGTGAGAAAAGAAATGATGTTGAATACAATCCTCTTTAGCACATAGGACATCTACTCTACCTATTAATACACTAATATAGCTGAGTGCATGTGTGTGTTTATGTGAAAAATTCCTAACTCTGCTTTACGCAGCGGGGCAGGAGTCTTGCATGTTTCAGATGTGCTGCATATGCATTGCTCTTTTTTTTTGTTCTCGAGTGGGACTATGAGGCAGTGATTTGATGCATATGTGTAGAATTATCCACAGTGTGTGTGTGGGGGGGGGGGGGGGGGGGGGAGGGGGGCTACATTCAACTGTTATTATTTCCATGTCTGTCTTTGATGGGTCGTTGCACATGGAGCATATGGATGTCTATACAGGCATGTATCTGGTGTCGTGCGTGTGTGTGTGTGTGTGTGTGTGTGTGCGTGTGTGTGTGCGCGTGTGTGTGTACTGACGCTGAAGTATGCATCGAGGCGTTCGTGTCTGTGCTCCTGCCATTTATTTTTCTGAGTGGGTGGCTAAACAGTCATATGCCAGTTGTGTGAGTGTGTGCGTGTAAGACAGGAGGGTGTGTGTGTGTGTGTGTGTGTGTGTGTGTATGTGTTGGATCGATGTCCATGTGTGTGCGGGTGCGAGGTGAAGTGTCTCTTGGCTGGCCTGATGGAGAGCTGGAGGAGAGCAGAGGTGAAAGAGGAGATTTGCAGAAAAGACACGCACCACTTCCCCCATTACTACTTTTCTTCTTCTACATCTCACTTTCTTTACCCCCCCCCCCCCCCCCCCCCCCCCATACACACACACACACACACACAACACACACACACACACACACACACACACACACACACACACACAGTGACCCTTTTATTTTCTCTGTCCACTCCCTGGTCTTTAGATGTTGAGTCACATTGCCTATAATGAAGCTTCTGGCCTTACGGTTTCAACGATGACACGTGTCACATGACACGCTTCTCCACCAGATCAGAGCATCAAGTTTCTGTCTGTGAGGTGTGTTTGGTTTCTCTGGCTCTTCATGCACACGGTGCTGTGCATGTTTCCTGCTTTATCATTTCTGCAGGGGAGAAATGTGAGTTTGAGATTTCAGGAGGACGAGGCTGCAACTTCGTGTGCACTTACAGTATGTGCTCTACTAAGAAGCCATTGAGCTCCAGCTTGACAACGTGAGAGGATGCACAAGGTCTCATTCATGCTGCGGTCCCCTCCGTATTTGCAGGCACCAACCAGAGAAGATGTGACGTCTGCAACGTTCTTACCTTAAACTGAATAAAAGTTTTACTAATCATATCACCGTCGTTGACGTGATCTACTATAGAACATGTCACTTTTGCTTAAGCAATGCTAAAATAGTACAAGGGCTTCTGATCATGTGCCTTTTGGGTCATGC